AAACAAACTCAAGGTGAATTAAAGACCTAAATATAAAAGTTAGAATTATAAATATAATGAATTTAAAAATAGGAACAAATTCAGAAACCCTAATACATGGCATAAACACACTATCAGCAAAATTTAAAACAGACAAATAACATGAGACAGACTAGGTGACTCATACCTCTCTCCCCCCAAAAGTCAGAAATTTATTTGCATCAGTAGATTTCATTTAAAAAAGTAAAAAGGAATCCAGGACATGGAAAAATATGACAGTAGCATATCAGATAAGAGACTAATTACTAAAATTCATAGAAAATGTCAGCAGCCCCACAAGAAAATGACAAATAACCCAGTTAAAAAAATACATATAGAACATAAACCGATACCTCACCAAAGACGATGTTTAGTCAGCCAACAAACATATGAAGACATACTCGTGATTACTAGCTATTTGATGAAAACCAAAACACCAATTACATATCATCGCATTCCAGAATTAATACCAAAGTTCAAAGGAACGGAAAACAAAAAATTCTGGCAAGGGTGAGGAGAGATTGAAACACTCACACACTACTGTAGGACTGTACAATGGAGCAGCCCCTGTGGAAAATGGTATGATGCTTCTTCAAAAAAGTTGGAAACAGAACATTATAACTAGCTAACTCAATTTCATTATATAGTCTAGAGAAATAAGAGCCATGACATAATTAGACGTATGCACATCCATGTTTATTGCAGCACTGTTCACAATAGCTCAAATCTGGAAACAACCTAAATGTCCATCAGTGGATTATACATAAATAAACTTTGGTACATCACAAAATGGAATACTATCCAGGACCAAAGAATAATTATAAATCCTGTAAAATATTTTATAATATGGATGAACCTGGAGGACATTTGGTGGGTAAAATTAGTGAAGTATAAGAGAACAAGTATTTTATGAAAATGCTACTCTAAAAATTCAAGTTTTTTACACAAAAAGAAATATCAAATAATGGTTATTGGGGTGACATGAGAAGGTAGGGAGGGGAAACCAGAGTCTAGAGTATAAGCCAATGTTATCTTATGCAAAAGAGAAGGCAAACTACACTAAGAGGGAGATTAGGAAGAAATTATGGAGGCAGAGAGAGACACTTGGAGATTGGTAAGAGTTAAAGATGACAGAGATAAACGCTGTTATATACACAATCCTGCAATACTGTTGAATCTACAAGTAGATGCTTGGGAAGACATGCTGAATAAGTATAGGAAGAGAGTAGGGGTATACCCATGACTACATACAGGTTTCACAGAAGATATTTATAAATATGCCTTTAAAAACTCACTACCATCCAGTCAATTCTGACTTTTAATAACTCTGTACTTTCTCTTGAAGTGCTGATGATGGGTTCCAACTGCCAACCTTGCTGTTAGCGAACCCATACATAACCCACTCTGCCACCCAAAACCAAACTGATCACCATCAAGGTGATTCCCACTCATTACATCCCTATGTAGGATTCTGAGAAATGCTGAGAAAGATAACCTCATCCTTCTCCTGCAGAGACAGGTGAGTTTGAACCTCTGACCTGGTGCTTAGCAGTCCAACACTTAACCAATGCCAGCAGGGCTCCTTAATTTGCACAGCCAAAACAAATGATAAATAGCATTTCCATTAACTGTATCTTAATTCAATCTAATTTTGTAGGACAGAGTAGAACTGCCTCTTTGGGCTTCCAAGGCCTTAAATATTTATACAACTAGACAGTTTCATCTTTCTCTCAAGGATTGACTAGATGATTTGAACTCTTCAACCTACACATAAACTCCCTCCCCTTGAGTCAATTCAGATTCCTAGCAATCTTATAGGGCTGAAGGTTTTGAACTACTGACCTTGTGGTAAGTAGTCCGACATGGAACCACTATGCCACCAGGGCTTCTCATTTTTTACATAGTAGATCATCACTGTGCATTTAATTACATATAACGGAACCAAAAGAAATTGAAGACATATCAAGCAATTGTTTTCTCACTAGAAAATTGTGATTTTTCAGAAAATTGTTTCCTCAGATTTAAATTTTGTTTTGGTCCCAAAGTCCTTGTTCCCTTTCAAGAGTCTACTGATACCGTCCACAGTCCTTATCAACTGTCTCAGTTCTGGTTCCCTCAGAAGAAGGCACTGGAACAATGATTTGGGTGTGAGCAATTTACTTGAAGGAGAACGAGAATCATGCAGAGGAGAAAAGAGAAGTGACACAGAAGACGATACTTCCAGTAACACTTGCATTACATCGGCTGCCATAAGGAGTGGGCCGAGTTTTCATCATAGGGGACACTTTTGTAAAATCCACATCTCAGAATTATCCTATGTAGGGTGCTACACTTTTCAGTGAAGGACTGGTCCTGGAGGAACCAAATTCCAAGTCACTCCTGCCGATATGAGTTGGACAATGTGGCTTCCAACTGGTGTTGTCCACTATCAAACAGACTGGATTGCAATGGAGATGGTGACAACCTCTGTGTTAGGTCGGGTTCTCAAGAGAAGCAAATTCAGTGGTCCTTTAAACGTACATGTATATAGGGAAAGATTCATATCAAGTAATGCCTCACACAGCTGTACAAGTGGATAAGTGCGGCTCAGTTCAAGTCCATGGGTCATGTGTAAGCAGGAGGCTTCTCTTGACCCATATAGCTGCAGGAGCTGATGAACAGGAAGCAGGAAGACCACAAGATGATGGATGTAGAACTAAATGAATCTGAGATTGTGCCCATGAATCCAAGGTTTGCAGTCCTCTGATAGCTCCTGGGATTGATAGGTGATATTATAGGAGGTGGGCGATCCAGATACAGGATCTATATCCAGTATTAGAACTGAGCTAGCTTCCATATAGTGTCAATCTCTACTAAGAGTAGGCCACACCTGGAATGAAGCCTCATTCAATGATATCAAGACTGTGGTCAGATTAAGGAAACTGTACTCAACACTATTCTTCTCACAACTGCTTGGCTGCTTCATAGAAGATCTCATCATAGAGCTGGCCACATTATGTTAGATCACAGCATAAGAGAATACTTGTCCACCGAAGCTAACATAAAACCTAACTATCACAACATCTACTACTCCACTCTTCAGTGGGAGGGCTCAACTCTCAAAAAGACAGGTTTTTAATGCATTCCACAATTATATAACTTCCATTTCTGATGACAACCCCAGATTGTCCCAGAAAATAAAACCATACCTGAAAACAACTCTTATTCCACGTATTCATTAGTATGTTTTAGGAGAATAAAATCGAAGTGGGGGAAAGAAGAAATAAGGGAGAAATGGAGGAAGAAAAGAAGATAGAAAGGACCACAAAGAATGAATCAATATCTCTGATTATTCTAGGACTCAGTAAGACCACAGATAGAAAAAAACATCTATTAAATCTAGAAATCCACCATTCAAACTGGAAACCACATCATTGTTCTTATGAAAAGTAGGGTCAGCCATGTTAGTTTTATGAGCTCAATGACAGGTTGCCAGATTGGAATCCACTCTTATTAAACAGACTTGCTCAGCAAAATGTCGTGAATGAGAATACATTCAAAGAAATGTCATGAGTAAACGAAATTATGTATGTAAATTACTAAGCAGAGTCCAGATGTGGAAACTATTTGGTTATGACTATGCTATTATTTTAACTTTATTTATTTCAGGGGAAAATATACACACAAACACTTAGGGTACAGTAGCAGTGCTTAAGACAATAGTCTTTGGAAAAACCATGGGAGTATTTATATGATAAATGTTTTAAAATTAGTGTTGGCCTTTGAGAGAAAATAGTAAGAAAGCTGTCCAAACAGCTTTTTTGGAGAGCATGTAGAAAAAAAAATTTAATACTGAGGAAAAAATGGCACAATAACAAATAGAACACAGAGTCATAGGTGCTTTGGGAATAAATGAAATTACACATGTCTATAAAAATAATAAAGATATTTAAATTCATGTCTTTTGGCTTTGAAGACCAAAAGGTCTATTTAGCCCTGAAACAAGAGGCCATCTTGAACAACAATTTGCTTTGCTTAACAGCCTCCCCAGGGCTCCCTTCATATCCTTATTCCTGAGGCAATAAATGAAGGGGTTCAGCATGGGTGTGACCACAGTGTACAGTACTGAGGCAATGGAGTTCCTCTGAGAAGAATGAGTCACTGCAGACGTTAGGTAGACACCGAGGCCTGTCCCATAGAACAGAGAGACCACAGAAAGGTGAGAGCCACAGGTGGAAAATGCTTTGTACTTACCTTCAACAGAAGATATTTTCATTAAGGAAGAAACAATTCGAGTGTAAGAGAAGAGAATCCCAGTGAGGGGAAACACACCCAGCAAGGCAGTTGCTATATACAAAAATATGTTACTAATGAGGGCATCAGAGCAGGCCACTTTGATAATCTGAGCCAGCTCACAGAAGAAATGTGGAATTTGAGTGCCAATACAGAATTTCAGGCGCATCATCAGTAGAACATGAATCAAAGAGGCCCACAACATGATAACCCAAGACATCAGCACGAGCAAGCCACAGAGCTTGGGGTTCATGATGACTGTGTAGTGCAGGGGGTGACAGATGGCTACATATCTGTCATATGCCATCACAGTCAAGATAAAGTTGTCCACTCCAACAAAAGCTGTGAAGAAATACACCTGAGTGAGACACTCCCTATAGGTGATTCCTTTGCTCTGTGTTTGGGTGTTCACCAGCATCTTTGGGATTGTGGTAGTAATGAAACACATGTCAACAAAGGACAGATTCGAAAGAAAGAAATACATTGGGGTATGGAGGTAGGGGTCAATGCTAATGGCCAGAATGATGAGCAGGTTCCCAAGCACCGTTACTAGGTATGTAGACAGGAAGAGTCCAAATAAGAGAGGCTGAAGTTCAGGATCCTCAGAGAGGCCCAGCAGCAGGAATTCGGAAATTTTTGTTTGGTTTTCTGGTTCCATGTAGCTGATACGGAGGCTGGAGTAGAAAGTAAAAACAGTGTTCAATGAATAGTCATGGACATCACAGCTCGCCTCACTTTGACAAAACCCCTTGTATTTTGTATTATAATCTTCTAGTGACTCCCTCAGTTACAGTATCGCCTTTCCATCTTGAATGAAAATATTTAGTCTCATTAATTTAGCAGAGATATTTTCCTAGCATCTAGTCCCATGTTCTAATTCTATTTGAATTTGTGTACATAAACCAATTTCTTCTCTGATATGGACCTCCCAGGCTAATCAGATTTATGTTCTGTGAACTCCCAAATATTTTCTTCTCCTTCTGGCAATTAGCTGCATGTTAGTAATTAAAGGTCATTAGTTTGAAAATCCTTGTCATAAATGTGACAGTTAATCTTGGTGACTGTTTTTCTTTTGAAATAGCTGTTCATTACCATGATCTTTTTTGAGTGATTTAGAAATGCCTTTTATACAAAAGGATCTCAATTGAACAAAGCTATTGTTATTATTAACCTATTATTTTTATGAGAATTATTTTAGATGTATAACTGTAACTAAGTATAAAACTATGCTTCCAAAATGTATGTTTAAACCATACTATCTAGAATAGAATTCTGGCTCTATCAACTTACTACCTGGAAAAGTTCCTTAATTTCTGTTAAAGATGCTTTGTCTCTTCAGTGGAGCAGCAAATATTCCTTACATAATGAGACTGATAAAGGAATTAAATGGGATGATACATGTACTTTTATAGGATGTTGCCTGTGATATACAGTGACACCGGGTAATTATGACTCCTTTTCTGGACATCATAATAAATCTGTCTTGAACGGCTATCATTTGTCAAAACTTCCTTAAAGCTGTTGATATTCCTTAAAGAGACCATATTCCTTAAAGCCACCAAGGTCGAAATTGGGGCCACTGCAAATGCAAGAGGTGGTTGACCTCCACTCAGCACTCTTCTAAAGAGGGGAATATCTGATGCCTTTCAGAGACCACCTTCTCATTGGATTCTTCCAAGAAAAGAAAAAGGTATTTTGACTATGCAGACAAAAGAAGGAAATTAAAGCACACAATCATTACATACAAATACAAGTTCTGTGTGAGTGTTTCCTCATGTGCACATGCTCTTGAGTGAGGAGTGGTTGCATTAATATTAGTGGAGATAAGTATACTGTGGGCATATTAGGCAAAAAACAGTAAAATCATTTTGTTTAACAGAGTCAAGTAAGGTGAGAAAAGATTTATATTTTCAGTCAAAGAAAAGCAGTATTCTCCAGGAACAAACATGATAACTAAAAAGAGAAAATATATATGGAAGACATATAATTTAGTCTGCAGTAGGAAAAGGTTCTCTGAAGTAGGATTATTTAGACTTAGAGAGAACGGAATGAAGACTTGTCAGAGGAAGTAAGGAAAATAATCTAATCAACTGAGAGAACAGAAGATTGGAAGGCCCTTTGTGGCACTGAGCTTAATAATGGAAGCAAGTTGACATCAGTCTAACGCAGAAGAGAAGATGAGTGCTAGCGAGGACAACGCAGGGAGGCTCACAAACAGAATCTCTAGTCCTATTGCTTGATGTGCACCTCCTGTAGCTAATCTTGTGCTTACTTGTGAGTTAGAGATTGTGATTTTGGACATACACTCTTTTCTTATCCTAGTGGATAATGGATGCTTTAGAACCACTGCCAATGAAGACGTGAAAAGATGTGTGTTAAATGTATAAGTCAAAGCAATCTCATCTCACTTTAGTCAGTCTCCTGAACATTTAAATTGAGAGAGCAAATGGAACTAAAGCCTCAGAAATAATTATACTATTTGCACAAGACATTGTAAATGTTTAATTGCTACCCATAAGCCAGCTGGAGAGGAAAGAAATATTTAGAATAAAATAAATTTTATTTGATTTTCAAATTTTATTAACTTTTCATTGGAATTCAAGTAAAAGATTACCAAGCAAGCTGGTTGTCTCCTTAACGATTCACACACATTTTGATTTATGACCTGAATGTAATCCCCACAGTGGAACAGTACTTCCTACTTCTTCCCAGAATCTCCCGTTTCCCTTGATCCTTCCATTGTATCCCTCCCTGCCTTCTGAGCTTTATCCCTCAGCAAATACTGCCCCTTAATCTCAGATGGCCAATTTCTGAGGAGCGCATACCCTTGGAGTGCCCTTGTTTACCTAATCACTCACTGCCATCCAGTCAATACTGACTCATAGTGGCCCTATACCGCAGGGCAGAACATCTCCTGTGGGTTGCTGAGACTGTCTTTATGGGAGTAGAAAGCCCATTCTTGTCCTTCTTGCGGCTGGTGGTTTCCAAGTGTGACCTGGCTGACCTCAGCCCAGTGTGTAACCACTACACCAGGGGTCCTTGTTCACTGTATAGGCGTGCCTCTTGCTTGCCTAAAAGCTGAGCAAAAGGGGTGAGTTCAATTCATGGCTTGAAGGATGACTAAGGACCACAGTCTTTGGAGTCCCACCTTTCTCTATCCAATCAATATCATTTCGAATTTTCCCCACATCTTTCTCCCACTCTGCTCAGGACTTTCTGTTGTGATCCCCTGCAGAGCAGTCTGTAGTGGTAGCTGGTCACCATCTCGCTATTCTGGTGTCATGGTCAAGGAGATTAAGATTTGTATGATACATTAATTCTGCATTTTCCCATGCATCTTTGATTTTCCTCCCTCTGCAGTACTTTGGATGGAGAGAGATCAATAGTTGCGCCTTAGATGGCTGCTCACTAGTTTTTAAGAACCCAATCACTGCTCACCAAAATAGGATATACATCACTGTCTTTGTAACTGCGTTATGATAACTGGGTTATCCATTCCCTAGACTACGGTCCCAAGCCTCCAAACCCAGGGACTTATTACCTCGAGGTATTTGGTTATGGATAAGAAGTATTCATCATTTTTCCTTTTAATTGCTCTACCATATATATGGATACACTTGTATTTACAACACATACAAAGATATCTGAGGAAGCATGCATTGCCTAACTTATGTATGGTTGTGGGTAGAATCCCATTTACCGACCCATTGCACCTTACCTCCAAATACATGAGATATCCAGCTAAAAGAAGAATACCAGGCAATATTTTCATTATTAGACTCTGCTTACTTCAGGATCAAATCTTTTTATTAAGTGACACATGAAAAAAATGTCCATGAACTCTTTTATTTTAGTATCGGTATTATGGTAAGAGCTAACATATTATCACTTGAGCTGTGACCTCCGACTAAAAGTACCCATTGCACTAACTGGAGAATGCAATCAATGTTTCACTTGAAGCAAGGTTAGGAAAAGCCGAGAGAAGCCCTGTATTGTTAGGAACAACATAAGCGATACATCCTGTTTATTGATTAGGCAGTGAATTAATTAGTGAATATAAGAAATCTAACAGAAATCTACAATTTATAAAAGAAAATGGAAAAGTGATGTTTAATAGGAGAGATGAGATAAAATGAAGCCATACTGGTGGCAGTAGAGGTCTTTTAGAAAATAACACATTAAATAAATGGCCATTTCCGATTCTTTTAGGAGAGGTTCCAGACAGACAAAGAAGCAACAGAATGAGAGTTTGACTTTAGGGTCCCTTCAAATTATGGACAGTTCACCTTCCCAGCTAACTATAGAAGTCTCAGACTGCTTACCAGGGAAATGAGGCATGTGCACCCTTTTCCTCTCTGTTTAACGTCTTACTTCACCAGCCCTCAATAGTACACACTTTTTTTCTGATGGAATTGCTGAAGCTGTTCCTCTTCCCCATAAACCACTACTGAGAAAGCCAATTCGGTTTTCAGCGAGGTGTGGATCAAATCTTTACAGGGAGAAGGGCAATGAGTACATATTTAAAGTTTCCATCTCTCCGGGGTTGAATCTCTGAGCTCTTCATTAAATAAATTGTTCTATTGTCCTTTCACACTAAACAATTCAGCTCCCTTGGGGACAAAGAAGAAAAACAAAGGCAATTATTCTGACTATTTTCTCTCCTTGTAGGCAAGTAAAGGAGAAGTTTATCTATAGTTAGTTTGATTCTAAAATACCCTAAGGAAAAGCATAACATCAACAAAAAATTATACCTAGAATCTGCAATTCTTAGACTGAAAATACCTGTAAAGTGTTTACGTAAAAGAATATTTGGACATTTTACTTGGTGTCCTCGAGTTATGGAGGCAAATATGTCCTGTTTGAAGATATCAGCTTAGTCCGTAGTTTTAATGCTGTTAAAGAGCCAAGGACTGAAAAATAATCTCTGGTAAACACTTAATGATACAAAAGTCTATGTTGATCTCAGACAGGGTTTCATTTGTTTCCTGAATCACTAAGGAAATGAATGGGGAGAGAAATAATCAAAGAGGGACGATTGAAGGGTGATGAGTACTGAGAAAATGTATGTGGCTGAAATAAACCTATTATACAAAAAATTGTCAGGAAAGAGAAAGAGAGAGATACAGCATAGTTTAAAGTGAATAGGGAGGGTATAGGAAAGGTTTTATTTTTTAAGTGAATTATTTGTGAAGACAATGCCAATGAGAGTCATCATGTGTAGTACAGCACTTCGATAGATAGAAAGTTAAAACAGAATCATTTACAATACAAGAATAGAGCATTGGTAGTGAAATTGTTGAGTTTGGATGCTAACTGAAAGGATGGCAGTTCAAACCAAGGGGCCCTTCTGTGGGAAAAAAAAAGATGTGTCAGTTTGCTTCTATAAAGTTACACCGAGGCGGCTCTGTGAGACAGTTTGACTCTCTCTTCTACAGCTGCTATGAGTTGAAACTGACTTCATGGGAAGAGGTTGAGAGGTTGGTTTGGGCTTACTGAAAATCAATGACCATCATACTGTTCTGTATTTTCAACAGGTAGAATACCTGGGTCCAGAAATAAAGGGGCAAAGTAAAAATGGTCCAACCAATTTTCATTCCCAATGATTAACTAGGGGAGATTTGTTTCAAATTTTTACAACTCTGTGCTTTCTCAAGTGAGAGATCTTATGATTCTAAAGGGAGAGAGTGTGTTCCATTTTACATTTCCACTAGAAATATAATCAAATCCTCATCAACACTGTTTATCATTATTTTCTAATTATCATCACCATCATCGTCATTATTATTATTATTAAAGACATCCTCATGGATGTAAGGTGGTACCACAATAGAGTTTGATTAGAATTTCCTTAATAGCCTATAATGTTAAATATCTTTTATGAACTTCTTACTCTTTGTATTTTGTCTTTAAATACATTGATATTCATGTTTTATGTCTATTTGTTAATTATGTCATATGGGCTCAGTTGTTGAATTGTGAGAGTTTCTCTTGCGCCACTTTATTCCATTTTATAAAATCATTTTCTTTGACTTGTTCATGTTTCTACGCTTGGTATTCCACTTGGATGCTAAGCATTTAAGCTGGTAAATATTGATCCCATAACATTTACTTTCTCCTTAATTTTTGCTAAAAGGAAAATATTAGAATGGAATTTTCCATAAATATCCTTTAGATCTAGTTGCTTGGTATGGTTAAGGCCTCTATTTCCTAAAATATCTTTTGTCTAGGTGTTGCAATCATTATTGAAGGGTCATAAAAGGTCCAACTATACATCAATCATAAATGCATATGATCCTAACAAAAGAACCCAAACTATGTGAAGCAAACGTTGAGAGAACTGAAATGAGAAATAGTGCACAAGAATAATTGGAGAGTTCAAAACACCACTCTCAATAATGGATAGAAAATACAGGGACAGGATCATTATATAAATATAGAATTTAAACAATACTACACATCAAAGAAGGGAGCTATAGTGGTTCTGCCATAAGCATCAGACTGTTAGCAACAAGCCTGGTGGTAGACACCCACCAGCGGCTTCATGGGAGAAAGATAAGGTTATCTGCTCCTGGAAAGCCTGGGAAGAATGTAAGGTTGCTATGACTCAGAATCAACTCAATGGCTGTGAGTTCTCGGAAGTAGCCGGCTTAATAATTATCTAGGTAAATGATAAGGAAGGTTTGGGGGCATATGGGGAGCTGACAACAATAAGTATGAAAACAAAATGTTCTGAAATTTATTGTGTGATGTTGCACAACTCCTCAGTATGATTTAATATTAAACTATTTTTAACTATTTTAAAAATGTAGTCTCTTCTTCCAGTTAAAAGTATTATCTAAAATTTTTATATCTGTAAACTGATTATTTTAATCATCATGTAATCCAGGGAGATTTAGGCCTTTGATACCAAGAATCTGATACTACTTCCATTAAAAATTTTTTTTATTCTGAGGTAGGAGTTTACAGAGAAGATAATTATTTTTATATTCAACAATTTAAACAATGTACCATGTGTGATAGTTAAAGTTTATTGTGCCAGCCTGGCCGGTAAACACATGTGGGATTAATTGAAGGGTGGAGAGATAAATACTTGGTGAACCTCACCTTTGTGGTACTCTTGTCTCTTGTTCTCTGACGGTCGGACCAGTGTGCGGCTGTCTTAGCTAGTTCTTTGCCTCGGCTGGCAAGGCTCACTTCCTGTGAGACATCCCTGGGGAGAAGCCACATGGACCTCCCCTGATGCAGCCCTAGGTGCTGAACGCGTGGAGAACCCTGCCAGCATTGAGATGCTTACACATTCACTGATTCGGCTTTCCCCCTGCAGTAAGCATCATTGCGTGTGTTTTGTGAGTTTGAGGAGGACTTTGTAGACCGATGTCGGACATATGGACTAATGTTGGATTTATGGGCTTAGACTGGACTGGGTTCGATGCCTTCTTAATGTACACTTACCTTTTAAATAAAACTCTCTCTTATATACATAAAAGTTTCTGTGGATTTGTTTCTCTAGTCTATCTAGACTAACACACCAAGTTTCCCAATAACTCACCCTCTCCCAACCTCCTTTTTTGCCCATAAATCTCTTGTATACTATTATCTTTACCTTCACCCAAGTTAACACCTATATGCCCTAGCCTATTACTATATATCCCACACCTTTGCCCATCCTGACCCCTTGGTAATCTCCAAATTCTAGTCCCTTTGCTATGATGAAGCTATGTAGATGTTTCACATCATGCTCATCTCTCCTTTTTGTTTTTTTCCCCTTTTAATAGTAAAGTGTTGTGTCATGAAGCTTCCTCCAAATTTCACACCCTTTCTGTTATCTGGGTTCTCGCTACCAACATAGGTTGTCACAGCATTGTGTCTTGGCTACTATGAACCTCTTAGCACAGTTCAATCTCATATTTGCCGCATGCATAGTGCCAGTAACTCAATAGCATTCCTGAAAAAAATGTTAAATTAAAAGAGGTAAAATAAAATGAGGCAAGTCTACTATGGGCTATCACAAGGCAGCATTATGTGATATTTAGCAAGTATTTGGGGGCTTTCTTGGATATGTTTACATAAATGTATACAAAAATGTAGTGATTTAATAATTTAGCAATTTAATGTCTTATTGCTACTCTATATCATGAGTTCACTATGACAGAAGATGTGAGAATTAATGTTTACAAAATGAGTTATCAATAGAATATCATTATCCTCTACACTCAAAATACACCACAGTTTGGGTAAAAAGTTGTTTTTTATCCACTCAGTAGCTTAGAACAGAAAGTGACAAGATTTTTCATCCACACATCTCATAATTCCTTCCTCACAGAGCCACTAGACACTGTATAGAGATATGTATTAATTTCTGATAGAAGAAATGTTTCACTTGTTTTTATTATTATGAGCAATAATTTATTTTCCCCATCTAATAGTATGTACAAGATATAAATCATAGAATAAATCATTAGCTTAATAAGTTATACAACTTACCTGGCAGGGGAGATACCATGATCACGAAGGTAGGTGGTTTTGCCAGGGTGAGGCTTATCCACTGCACTCTGGATGTGCTGACCACTGCGATGTCCCCAAATGTGGGAAACTTGACGGCATCATTTGTGGTAGTGGGGTACTGTGCTCATGCTCGCCCCTGGGGGGAAAAATAAGTTATACAAATAAGAAAGGGATCAAAAATAAGAATGCAAATATCGCATAACAGC